CTTATTTTGAAAATGGCGTTTTGAGACTATCGATGAAATCAAACTCGAAATTTGGTTGGCATCCACGTTATTATCTATGTAAACTCAATGTTAAGACTCTTTTTGCATTATGAGCCAAATATTATACTAATTAAATAAATAAGATATTTAGATACTATATCAAGTTTAGAGAATCAGAATTAATTTCATGTTAATTTGGAGTTTAGTAAGTGAAACATAAATGTTATAAACCGACTATCAAGTAATGCTTCTCACCTCATCAAATTAATTCAAATTAATTTGAAATATGAAAAACTATTAATTTATTGGCTCTATCTGAATTATTTATACACAATACACCATTATTTCTATATACTAACATACTGATTATTAAAATAGGCGACGAAGCCGATTGCATGATCATGTTCTAGTCAGTAAATAAAAAAATATGAAGTTTGAAATAGGCCTAACAAAATATAATACGGATTTGATTTGAAAAAATTCAAGTGAAACGAGACCAAAAGCTATATAAAAAATTTGTCGACGTTGTTCATAATATAAAAAATTTGTCAACGTTGTTTATAATATAAAAAATCAGATTGACAATGTGGCTGAGGCGAGAGCCATATGAAATTGTCATTTGTGTATTTTCCTATTTATAATTAAACTAGTCTTGTTTGTTAAGTGTTGTGTTCCTCTATATTATTAAAATTAGTGTAAATTTAAAATCTTGATTTTAATCTTTTTACTAAAATAAAAAAATATCACTATCTGTTATATTTAATTATTAGCTGAAATAGGCGCGAAGCCGCCCGCATTTGCAATATCTAGTTCCAATCAAATAAATGCAATTGTTAATGATAAACGTGAGGTTGTAGTTCCTGGAGCATCTAAAGGATATATTAAGTCTATAAGGTACCGTAAAGCGCTCTTTAAAGTACCCGGTGTGACATGATTTTTTACTAGTGAAAATAACTACCCAACAACACCTCCAATTTTTCTGCGCAGTCACGTGATATCAAATCGCGATGATCAATTTATTACTAATAAATTTTTGCTTTTTTTTAAACTTCTAGCGAAGGTTTCTCAATAACCACCCTATCAATTCAGTAAAAAATTTTTTTTCTTTATTCGGTACACTCATAGAAACAAAATAAAAAAATTTTTATTAAATTTAGCTCATGTCATTGAGAAATTTTAGGTAAAAGTTTTAAAAAAAATTAAATACCTTAGAAAAAAAAATAAAATCATAACAAAATTTTTTATTTTAAAAACTTTAAACGAATATTTCTTAACAACTACCTTTACAAATGCGATAAAAATTTATTTTATTTTAATTTTGTGAATCTACTGAATTAAAATAAAAAATATTTTTTCGAATTTGAATAGGTAGGCGGTTGTTGAGAAATATTCATTAAAATTTAAATCAAAATTTGGCGCAGCTTTTTTTTAACTGATTATAAACTTTGAATGAATTTTACTCAACACCCACCTAATAGAATTCAACCAAAATTTTTTTAATTTGATCTTATAAATCTATAGAATTGAAATAATAAACTTTTAATTAAGTTTAATTAGGTGGGTATTGGGTAATATTCTTTCAAATTTTATGTATTTGTTAAAAAAAAAGCTGTGGCCAGATTTTGGTTTGAAATATTTTTCAACAACCGCCTATTCAAACTCGATAAAAATTCTTTTATTTTAATTCTGTAGATTCATAGAATTAAGATAAAAAATATCATCATATTTTTACAGGTAGTTTTTTTGAGAAGCTTCGTTTAAGGTTTAAAAATAAAAATTTTAAAAATAAAAGTATCGATTGTTTATTTAAACTTTAAAAATATTTAGCAGAATTGTATTTTATTTAAAATTTTTAGCCAAAATAAAATTTATTTATATTGAAGCAAATGTAAATGGACCAATTTATTTATAATTTTGTTTACCCACGGCACTTTTAATTACACACTGTACCGATTATATATTCTTAAGTTTTGTAAATTTAAAACCAATCCGCAAGAAGTCTTAACTCATTGACCTGAATTTAAATAAAAAAAAGGTATTATTTAACTATATAAATAATTTTAATTAACAGAACATGTATAATAAATTTTTACCTTCATAAAATTATAAGAACATAGTAGATCTTTCCATGTTCTTGGATTTGTTACCCTTCACTTATATTTTTTAATATCCGTCACCATGGTACTAATTCCTTCAAAGCTTTTCTCGACAGCCTTTGCCCACTTAACATTATTAGCTTCACGCTGTTCTTGTACTATTAATAGTGCATCTTGCAAAATTGACTCATAGTTTTCAAAAAGTTGACCGGAATTTTCATTATCCATTACTGTAGCAATATCTTTTAATGTAGATATTAATAAAATTAATTAAATGTAATAAAAATTTATTGTTACATAGATTTCTTACCAGCCAATGAATTATTATCATCATTATTTGATATACAATTTGATAATGGTGGTAATGAATTATCTGATATTGGTAATAATGGTCTACGAATTGATAAAGTATTTTGAGTTAGTAACGGTAAAGCTATAAAAGGATATGTATCTTGTCATTTAACATTATGGAAAAAAGACATATCAATATTAGTAGTATAAGACAATAATTGAATAAGGTGTTTGCATAAAAAAAACCGGTTCATTAAAAAACCAGTGCAATTGCAAACCCAATTTTCAATATTGGTCAAGTAAGTATGGCGAAGTTCTTTTTTTTTAATATATTCCCTCTTTCTTAAATTCTTTGCGCCATGAAGGCATTTCTCAGCCAGAATAATATTTAGAATATTGTTGCTGATAGTGTGGTATAAGTTGCAAAACAAAAACATAAATCACAAGATCCAGTCGTGGTCTAAAAAACTTGGGCAAAAAATCACGCTTTATAACCTTCCAATCCGACTCAATTAGCATTGTAGTATGAAAAATACAGATTCGATTAGACATTGATGAGCGTGCCCATATAGGCCAAAGTTCACTACGATATCAATTTTGCCACATATATGACCAAAGATGTTTGAGACCATTAGTTGTACAAAATTCATACATTTCCTTCATACACTGTATCCAGATTTCTTCTTTTGTCATAAAAATTCCTTCTGAATTAGGAATGAGTGGATGCAAATGCATATGATATTCTATCATAGAAATTATTTGTGGTCGCAGATTTTTTGGACAAAAAATAAAATCATTTCTTGCTTTAATCCTGTTTATTGGCAATTCGAGATAAAATCCAATACCAATAAAGTTAAATGTACTATGTGCATCGTACGAACTATATGTTATTCTTTGAGGTAAAGTATTATCAGCTAATCGTTTTTTAAGGGCTTTCTTAAAGTGCCAATAACAAACTTGTATTTTAATATTTGGCCATGCTTTTCATACTGCTAATATTTGAGCAAGATCTTTATCCATATACATACAAATAAGTTGATCCATTCCCAAATACATTAATATTTTAAAAAAATTAGCCAAAATTTCAGTTCGTGCACTATCTTGTCTACCTCCTTCAACGAATAAGTAAGCTAATACGAATCCTGCTCCATCATACTGACCAACTACTGAATAAAGTTCATGTCCTAATTTGTTTGTTTTATAGGTTGCATCCATGAAAATTTCTTTATTTTTTTTAAATTGTTGAAAAAATGGTGTAACAAAACCTAAAAAGCTAATTCCATTGTTGATATTAAACGTAACAATTTTGTAATTATATTCTTCTAAAAAAATTTTGAAAGATTTTATTTGATCAGTATCTCGAATAAAACTTTTTTTAATGAAAATTGTCCACCATGCATGAATTTGTTTTTGTGTTATTTCAGGATGATTCGACTCTAATATTCTATAAATGTCACTTGGCATTAAATGAAGATTTGATTGAATTATATTTTTGATTTCTTCTGTAACTCTATTCCTTTCAGGTCGTTGGTAAAGAATTTTATATTTAAGGTAAATAGATGCATTATTGGTTATCATATTTATGGAAATTTTAAGCATTCCATTACAATCAAAGCATTCAATTGATTCACGATCTCTTTGACATTCAGGGTTCTGATACTTGCGAGGTTTTTTGCTAAACTTCGACATTGAGAACATCAATATTGAAATGTATATAATTCATTAGTTTTTTTTGAATTGTAATTATTAAAATAAATATAATAATAGCCATCACTATCACCTATTAAATTCACAATTTTTTTTGTTATATCTTGAGGTGTATCTTTATTGTCTTTAAAATCGTCTAATATAATAATTGATTCAAAATTAATTCCATTCAAATTATTTTCAAAGTATTCATCAGATCCAACTAGAGAAACTTTATTAAAAAGCTCTTCAGCCATTTCTTCAGGAAATATTACTTCATTTTCATCAGATTTAATTGAAGCATTATAATGATCTAAAGACTGTTGGTGACAAGATTTACAAGATTTTAAGATACGATTTTTTTAATAAATTGATTTATAGGTAAATACTTTCGGCATTTTGTACATTTTTCTAATGATTTATTATTTATATCGGGTTCATTTATATCAGGTTCATTTATATCAGGTTCATATATATCGGGTTTACCCATATCATCAGGGTTATCCATGTTTTATTACTTATGTTTTCAAAAGAAAAATTTTTTTTTCTTATTGATATTTATGAATGAAAAAATTTACATCATTGTATTACATAAAAGAATAAAAAACTGAAACATTACGTATTTATTACGTTAAATATGCATAAGATAAGTTATATAAAAAAGTATAACAAATTGATCATCGCCGATTTGATATCACGTGACTGTGCAGAAAAATTGGTGTTGTTGATATTGAGCCAATCAGGATGCAAGATCAGGTGTAACGTGACAATCAAAACAACAATCACTTTTTTTTGAAAAGTC